CGCAAGGTGGAGTGCAAAGGTTTGGTTCATCAACACGCTGCAGACAGTTAATTTAAGAAAATGGGTCAAAAAACTAGGAAGACACCAAAACACAGGTGTATGCGGCAAAATAGAACTGCTGCTCTTCCCTGAGGACTATATAATTTATTTATACTACTAAAAAGGATGGGAGGACAGCCCTCCAAAAGCAAAGACTACCAAAAGGTACTGAAATAATACCTCCCAGCACCCACAACAGTACCGTGCATACAAGTTCTCAATAATGATCTCTTTGACTGACATTCAGCGATTCCACTATGAGGAAGAAAACAAGCCCAAAACATCTGTTGCCAGGAGAAAAGACCAGCACAACACCTGCCTCCAAGAAGGACTATTAAGTCCTGAGAGCAAAGAGCAATACAAAGAATTTTCAGTCAGTACAAAAACAAGCAACAAAAACAAGGCAATAAACAAACCAACAATCAAGGACAGAGGATAAGGAAAATGTGTGAGTGACTTTTTAAAAATATTTTTAAATACTAGATATAAAATTAAATTATGGAACATACAGCTTAAAAGAAAAAGCAGATAATATACCTCTTAACAGATGGTATAAACTATGTAATCTGGATGAGAGTTTACTTTCTTCTCTATAAAAAGAGTCACATAGAAAACAAGCATTAAGATGTTTCAAGTGAGTTAGCAGCAACTGGAAATCACAGGAGTTAAACAAACGCATTCTACGTCTTTCCCCTCCAAATCACCAAGGGTCAAATTTTAACCTCTCTGTATTTCCCTGTTCACAAAAGTTATTTTATTCGTGGCAAAAACATTTTAAAATATTTGACACAGAAAGTATAAAATAATCCCACCATCCAGAGGTGATCACTATCACCATTTGTCTTTATCCATCCAGACATGTGTTTGAGAGTCACACACACACATTTAAACATGCAAAGCTATGGAGGAACCTAAGGGGAGGAAATCTGTTAGCTTGCTCTTTTCACTTAACGCATCACGAGCCTCTTTCCATGTCCAAGAGAGCAAGGGCATCCTTTGGCAACCTGCAGTCCCCTGACCATCATTTATTCAACCTTTTAGAAAAATCTATTTACATTGGTTCCACTTATTTTCAACGCTGCAAACAAATACCCACTGCGTGTATCCTTGAACAACACATCTTAGATTAACTCTTGGATAACTTCATCAAAGTGGAATTATTGAGCCAAAGGACTTTCAGGCTTTTGATACTGTCACGAACAGTGTAGGGTCTGCAATTTTACTCTTCTTGCAAGTTAATAACGTAGCCTGCCACTGTTTCATGGAGGCTGTGAGAAGGCACGAGACTCTCAGCCACAGACTAGGACAATTTATTACTCTTAACAATAGCAGTAGCATTTGGGTCCAGCTCCCTAAGCCCCAATTCCCATTGGGCCATCTGACGAAGAGGGCCAGGTGACCCTGTGCAAAGGTAGCTGTATTACAGGAGGGGCACTGAGTTTAGGGAACTGTTATAATGAGCAGAAGGCATGGCTGCCCCCTACTCCAGAGAAAGATACATCTTTCCTAGATGCTGCTACAAAAACATCCTTGAAAAGACTGTCGGGAACAAAGGAGGTGCTTTGCTCCCCCGAACATGCAGAGACATGACAGAATTGTGGAAAATTCTTCTGGCAGTCAATATTTCCAAAATAATCCCCCCAACAGAATAAAAAATACCTGACCAATAATTTTGATTTTTCCCAATATTAAGACAGGTTAGAATTCTCAACTGTTATAATTTTTATTTTATTGAATATATTTTATATACTTAGTGATCATTTGCTTATGTTATTTTTGGATTACTTTCTCACATTATTTGCCCTTCTTTCTACAGGAGTGCTCATCTGTATATACGGAACATACTGAATATATTAACTCTTCCATACCAAACATATTAACTTTACTACATATACTAATTCTTAGGCTCATGGGTAAATATTTCCTCATACTGTCTAAACTTGTTTATAGTGTTTTGGGGTATTTCTCTATGACTTTCTAAACTTGTTTATAGTGTTTTGGGGTATTTCTGTATGATCAAATCATTCTTTTCCTTTACGGCTTAAAAAGGCCCAATACCAAGAGTAGCAGAGTAGTGAAACCAAGACAACTTGGTACTCATTTTTACTCATTCTCTATCATGTCCTTAATCATGAAAATCTCAGCTTTAACTGAATATGCTGTCACCTAATAAAACACTATATTCACCAGTCTCCTTTGCTGTGAGGTACAGCCACGTAACTAAGACGTAACTCATGAGATGTTTACACAGTGTTGTTTAAGAACTCTGAGACATGTCTTCAAAGGGTGGGCATGGTCTCATTCAGTCTTCCTGCAATCCACTGCTTGGATGTGGACCATGGTAAGACCAGCAGCCCTGGAGTTGTACCATGGAAATCTGGAAGAAGCCTGGGTACCTGATTACCTTGTGAGGCCAATACCAGATCTGAAATGCCTTCTGGAATTTTTTGACATCATGAGAAATAAACTTGTACTATTTGGTAAGTTTTCTGTTTTGCAGGTAAGCCTAAGGCTAACACACCATTATTAAAACATTAAAACATTTTCTTCTAATACATGTAAAGTTTGGTGTGAATTAATCTGAGATCAATATTGGCATAAGGTACAAGAAAGGTATCTAACTTTTCCTCCGATGACTAAGCCTTCCTAAGTATGTCTGAGATATTGTTATATTAAGTATGTCTGAGATATTGTTATATTAACCCATACATGTTATGAGTTCATTTACTTGAGGGCTGGGTCTGATCATTCATGCTCCTTCAAAGATAACTCTCTCCCTCAATCTCTCTGTTCAGAAGACACTGAAAATGGAAGGTAAGATTACCATTTTTTTAAATAATAATCCACTTTTGCTTCAATATTTTAATGAATACAGTTCAGGAACCAAAGTCGGAAACATCTAGATCTGCAAGTCATACCTTATCAGTTCCCGAAGGCACCCAAGCAACAGCATAACACCTACCAGCATTCTTATTCTTTAACTGCTTTACAATAAAATAGTTTATATCTCCAGAGATCATTTAAAGCTTAAAATCTACAAAACCTTTTCTCACTCTAAAATATGCTACAAACACAATACATTATCCGAGTAAGGAGAAGCATTACCTAAAATGCTGAAAGAATAAATTACTGGGCGGAAAAAAAACACAATGGAATTAATTTTCCAACTACAAAATACTACAAACTAATGAAGAGGAAATGAACTAATTAATGGGCGCTGGATTCCCAGGTTTCCCTTTCAACTACTCACCCCCAGAATGACCTCCACAGCCACTTCCGTCTGTCCCCCCCAACGCCTTAACAGCTTCTTAGATTTCTCTCTCAGAGATCTTTTGCCAAAACACCCTTTCACAGGTCTGACCTAATCTAGGCTCGTACTGGCTTTGCACTGGGCGGAACGTGGTGCTAAACACGACCCGCTTAAATCTGGTCTCCCTGAACCTCGGTTCGGTGGCTCATCACTCAGAACAGAGCAGTCACCAGTAGGAGAACCATTTCTTACTTAACGTCTTCTTTAGCTTTGTCTTGGTTCCTTGGGCTGAATGTATTTGCCTACAATTGAAGAATCTGGGGAAAGGGAGCGTTCTACTATTCTACCTTTTCTCTAAGTTTCAAATTATTTCAAATGCAAGAGAGACAGAGAGAAAGCACAAAAAGAGAAGTCAAATTTAGCTCGTTGGGGAAAAGCAAGGGTGTCCCAGAAAGTGTCTGTACGTGATCATATACTCTGTCGTAGCATTATATTAGGGAAAAGATAAGGGTAAATGTTTTGTATACTGAGTTTCTAAAGCACTGGTGTAAGACCTAAAGGAAATGACCTAAGCCAGTGAAATACCACTTTTCATGATCTCTTGGGAAAAAGAGGGAAAAAAGTATTAAGGAAAATAACTGAGAAAAAACATTATTAAGGAAAAAAAAAATTTTAACCCACAAGTTCTAAGACTATAGAATGATTTTGTGGCTCACATGCTTGACCCATGGGACAAGTTCTAAGGTTGGAAAACAGAATCTATAAGCCTCCATCTCAGAGCACACCTCTATTCATCCAATGACATCTATTTTTCCAGACCTACTTCACAGGCTACCTCTTCCATAAAGCTTCAACACATCCCACCCCGGTTCCCCAATCCATCCTCAAGACACACACCCGACCAGAGAGGCCCCCTGTGTGAGCTGCTAAAGCATGTACCTGAGCCTCTCTTCTAGGAGGTTTACTTCTATGTTTACATCACTGGAATTTGCCCACGTCTTCTCTCCCTTTTATGAGGCTGCAATTACCTTGAGCACAAGAACCAAGCTTCTCAATCATCCTTATTTCTTCAATACCTAACACAGCACCTAGATCCAGGGAACTCTGCAGTATTTTTTGAATAATGGTCAAAATTAACTAACGTTAACTAATTTGAAATAATTACAGCACTCCTTTCAAAGCACTAACATATACTGCGCATTTCAAAACATTTCTACCCACACTCCCATAAAACATTTAAAACATTCTTAGGGGCTTCCCTGGTGGCGCATTGGCTGAGAGTCCGCCTGCCGTTGCAGGAGACGCGGGTTCGTGCCCCTGTCCGGGAAGATCCCACATGCCGCGGAGCGGCTGGGCCCGTGAGCCATGGCCGCTGAGCCTGTGCGTCCGGAGCCTATGCTCCGCAGCGGGAGAGGCCACAGCAGTGAGAGGCCCGCGTACCGCAAAAAAAAAAAAAAAAAAAAAAAAAAAAATTCTTAACACTCAAAGGGCAAACAGCTATCTGGAAGCCACAGCTAACCAGAACTCACTGTCCAAAGATTCTAGAGAGCTCAGGGTTTTGTTTTTGTTCTTTTTTTTTTAACTACACTCATACTTCAAAGAAGAGATGTATCAACTTTTCGCTAATATTAAAAAGATGCTCATTTTAAATCTGGAAGAAAAAAAAAACTCCAGCAAACTTTTGGACTCTTTTTAAAAGATGAACAAATACCTCTTCAGTTTCAGGAGCAACCTGGGAATCAGTAATCTCATCTAATTCCTCTTCAGCAACACAGTCTTCCTGCTCTTTCATCCCTTGTTGCCCACAAGCCTGCAAGTATTCTTCATCCTAACAGCCATTAAAGAGAAAGTAAGTTTTTCTCATATAGCTTTGGGGTTTTTAAGCACTTTTCACCTTCATGACTCATGCTTAGTTATGTTAGCAAATTTTACTATGGCAATTATCAGACTGAGCAGAAAAGCACTAAGCACAAAACCAGAATGGGGCCTCCCCTGAGTGTTCATGGGCGCAAGAGAGCAGTATGCCAACCCAATCGCTGCAGGGAGTGATACGGACCCTGCTTCAACCTCCAAGGGCCCTGACAAGTAGCTCTTCTTCAAATCCAACACTAAGGAAATATAATCTTAAAAAGAAAGTGTGTATGTGCTTGCACAGAGCAGCTCAGCAGCAGTACGGGGGCTGGAATCATGCCCAATTCGAACCGTTTTTATAGCAACAGAAGACAACAAAAGTATGGGCAATTCAATTCAACTCAGGAGCTGTATTAAAATTACATGTTAGAATTAGTTTCTCCATCAGCCGCTCCCTTGAATCAGAAGGATGATTCCAGGTTTGCATGAAATGTAAGGGCATGGCAGCAGGCAGGCATCTCGAGGGCATAGGGAAGGAAGCAGGCAAGCTGGCTAGAAACAACAACTGCAAGGAAAGAAGGGCTCCTACAGGTATCACTACAAGTAACAAGATCTGACCCCTCCAGGGGAGCTGACCTCCCCAGTGCCCCTGGCCACCAGCTCAAGTGAACAATAGGCAGGAAGGAAGAGCGGACCAGCTGCGGGACCTGCACAGCCCTACTGCACAGAATCCAACAGTCTCTCTACAAAGAACAGCAGCTGTACCCAAGGTGACAGACCACCTTAGTCCCCACAACCGTCTCGCAAGACTGTCCAAACACACTGCATTTTACTTCCCCAAAGAAACTGTTACCATCCTACCTAAAAGAGCAACTATCACTACCCATGATTCACTGAGAGCAGAACTGTCGGATTTCAAATAAGGCCATACGATGCTAATCAAAATTGTCAGCCAACATACAATGGAGAATAGTCTACACCACTGAACTCTCACTGGGAAACAAAAATCTGCTATCCATTACATAAATTACCAATCTGAAATTGTTTTTACAGAACAATGTCTTATGAAATCTCAATCTATGTTAACTTTAAAGGCACTAAGTAAATCTGGTTGTGCTCAAAAGTATAAATCATCTGACAGTGTTCTCATACTCTGTTGAATAATAAATAATATACATCTCTTCCTAATACAAGAATACAAGTTTTTACATCAAATCCCAATTCACTCTCAAGATTAGGACAGCAAAATTCAAAAAAAATTTTTTTGAGTATGAAAGGAAAGAACACCACAATTTACTACCAACTTTTTATGGGAAAATGCAGTTTCTTCATATGTAAGATTGTCCCTTCCAATTGTAAAATTCTGCGATTTTATGATTCCACTCCCAGTTATACACAAAATTCCTCCCTGTGACGTTACGTGTGAGCTCAAATAGACAGAACATACTCGTGATGAGTAAAGAGTTAATTCTAGCTTTAGAGTATGAGTTAACAAGTCCTAAGCAGGACATGAACCACAGTGAAATAAACCATTTAATAAACTAAAATACCACTGGGATACACAGGACTGCAATCTACTCATATGTTCGTTACTCTAATAATGAATAATTAATTAATCTGTGCACCAGTGACAGCCTAAGACAGTAAGAGGCCCGCACTGCAGAGCTGGAGAAAAGTACTTCACAGCTTAAGTCCATTTTTCTCTTCCCATGCAAAGAAGAGGCAGTGCCAGATTCTACCACTGTGATGTCTATAAAGAAACCAATAATCTTAAAGAAACCGGAAAGAAAGGAAAGAATGAGTGTGGCTGTAAAGCCGGATATACTGAGGTGAGCTGACATTGCTCACAGACAGACATTTAACTTCGCCTTGTACCTTTAAACTTTACAACTCTCTGTGAAAATATTTGGACACGCTCAGTTAAGTAAATTTATTTACTTTAAGATTTTTTTAATTCTGAAAAAATTTATTTTAATGCGGAGAAGTACTGTGAGTATAATGAATTTGCATTTTTGTCTTTTCAATACGTGAATCTGAGGCACAAGATGCTGGATAGTTAAGTTGGATTTTATACAACAAGGGGCCTAAATGTAACCTCAAGTTTGGAAACTAAGAGAGGGAAAGTCCTCACTTACTACAAATTCTCTTTACAACAAACTCTGCAAGAACAGCAAAGTGAGAGATACCTCTTATGTGACCATGTGTAAGTGCCATCAAGCACTTTCCACGCTGTGATTTGTTCCACTAAAGTCTAAGTTCACAGAAGGCAGGGGCCACGCTTTATGCTGCATATTTCAGCAATACTTACGTCCCCACTGCTTGGACACTGGTAAAGATCTGTTGAGCTTTTGAATTTACAAGGGATGTGACTGACTGACCATCTTATTTTAGGGATGAGCAGTAGAAATACTAAAACGCTCTAACCAGGGAATAACGGGGCACATTTTTTAAAGACCTTGGCTTAATTTTTAAGAATCATTTTAATTTACAGTGTCTCACTTTAACATAGTATATGGACACACCAGTAAACCAGAGAGCACCTGTCCACACTACTGAAGGATTTATTACCAAAAGAAACCATTACAGAGTTATCGAAAAAACAAGGACCCATGATGCCTTTTACAGGATTCTGTTTACCAAACCTAGAAATATTTTTTCATTACTATATCTACTAAAGAGAAAGCATTCAAAAAGAATAAATCTTAAAAATAACACTGCGATATATAAACGCAACTGTGTTTGGAACTAAATATTCTAAGGCTCCACGTAAACGATTAGTGTCTTTCAAAACTACACACACACAAATTTTTTATCAAATGAAAAATTACCTACTCTGAATAGAAACATTAAGAGATAAAGGCAGAACTCTAGCCCTAATGCTGCATGCCTCCACCCCATTCCAGCAACCCCACTCACACTGCACCTTGGGGGAGACCAGCACCCTGAAAACCCTAAGATTCTACTGCACCTATGGAGGTCATGCCCTTCCAACATAAATTTCTTTTAATGCTTATTTCAAAAACAAATCTTTTTTAATGATAAATCATGAAGACAGATGAGCAATCTTTCACTAATACCTTTTTCTTTCTTGACAGTTCAACCTAAAAAAAAAAACTACCAACCAAAACCACCTTTCTGAAATAAAAATCAGTGCAATCTTTGCTTCCTGATTACAGATAACAAATTATGGGTGACATTTCCTAAACTAACCTCCAATCTCTTTATTCATGTTTAGACAGTTCTCAGTTACAAAAAAGGATGAATGAACAGGACATCAATCACTCTGGAATATTAGCACCTTAAAGATGTCTTTAGCAGGTCAATAATCTTTTCACCTTAGAAGGACTTTATCAGATCTTGTCTAAAGCCTGGATAAAAGCCCTGCATTAAGTACTTCTAACAATTGACAGTGTATCTCCACCACACAAAGCTGTTTTCTTCCTCAAGGTCACGATTCTGTGCAGCCTTCCAGGATGACAAAGGAGCATTACCTCCGGCCAAACAAGCTGTCAACACAAACTTTGTCAGAGCGCAGATAAAGAAACTGGCAGACAGTGATAATAAGGTCTAATTTCCCGCCCTCCCAGGGGAGGGAAACAGATTTCAAATCAGTCTAGAAACCTGTACCCAGGCAGCCATGCTCTCTTCGGCCATACAAAGGAGAAAGACTCACTGTGAACTCATCTAAAGGCTCGTTGATCTCGATGTCTAACACCTCGTCGCTGTACAGCGGCTCCTCCTCCGGCTCCCCCGCGTACTCGATGTGGTCTTCTGCCAGCTCAGCACCGTGGCCTTCATACTGTCCTTCTTCCTGGTACTCAGGAGCATACAGTTCAGATCCATCAGACTTGTGATAAACGAGTTCATCCTCTCCTTGTTCATACTCGGATTCCTGTTCTCCAGACTGGTCATTAGTGTTGTCAGACAGTTCAAACGATGTGACCATGCCAGATGTGGTATTCAGACTAATTGTGACACCCTGAGAACTAGAGGAGACAAAAATACAAAGAAAGGCAGGCAACTGGAGTGAAGCTCAAAACTAAATCACTGCATAAGTTAACTGTTAGAAAGACCAGTGAGAAGTTACTCCAGTGGCTGCTCAATGCACACTGACAACAACGACTGCAAGCAAAACTCAATGTGCTCCCTACTAAGCCAGCACTACAAACCCTCCCGCACACCGCAGAGCTCAGTGCACTACACTGAGCCAGGGCCAGCACCAGACTCCTACTGCATAAGGCGCCCCCTCTATCATCAGCTGCAGCTTATGTGACCAGGAGAATCAGAGCAACCATGAGAAACAGGTCTACCTGGCAAAAGTCCAGGACTGAAAGCAAATAGACTACGTTTCATTCTAACTTCCAGAATGAAATGGGTGGTATCTATTTTCTAAAACATCCAGGTAAAACTAGGAGTATTACTCTATAAACAGAAAATCATAGATGGAATTTTAAGAACAACTTGTTTTCTTTTTTAAATCTATGATGCAAACTATAAACTCCTATTTAAGAAATCAAAATATTAAAAATCTGCATGAAAATACATTTCAATGTTCAACTAAAGTTTATACTAGCCACAAATTTTTTTAAAAAAGTTAATTTCTGAGTAAAATAAACGAGGGCAGTTTTAAAACTGCAAAAAAAGAAATCACATTCCACCTGTTAAATCACAACAGATAAATGTCAAACAATTAAAAATGCATAATAACACTTAAAACACCAAGGTTTTGTAGCTAAATCTAAGTTTACACTTATTAAGTATCCAATCCTAGCAAAAGATTGAACATGCCACATACACTTGAAGACATATGGCTAAAAACATTCCAAAGGTTTATTTCAAGGGCAATTTAACTAACTCAAAAGATCAAAATATAATAATGATGTCACGGAATGGAACTGGGAAACAAATAACTGACAAAATAAATTAATTTAAAACTTGTTACCCATTATGTTAGAAAAACTATTACAAATCTATAGCTCAACAATGAATGGAATATATTTGTTAACTACATCTATAAGCAAGAAGCATCTCTATATTTTCACAATAAATGTTTCCTCATAAAACTGAAAAAATTGTTCCACCTAACAGAGTATACTAAATGCCTCTTCCTCTTCTAATTGCGTTACTATGTCGGCAACAGAAAGATATTCTTTATTGCCATGCACTGAGTATTTGTGCCCCCCCCCTCCAAATTCATGTGTTGAATCCTAAAACCCAATGTGATGGTGTCTGGAGGTGAAGCCTTTGGGAGATGCCTAGGTCATGAGGGTGGAACCTCTGAATACGATCAGTGCCCTTATAAAAGGGACCCGAGAGAGCTCCCTCACACCTTCCAACCATGTGAGTACACAGTGAGAGGGCTGGGGGTCCTCACTAGAACCCAACCAGGCCAGCACCTCAACCTAGGACTTCCTGGCTCCCAGAATCGTGAGAAATAAATTTCTGTTCTTTGTAAGCTACCCTTTTATGAAATTTTGTTATGGCAGCCCAAACAGACGAAAACAACTATATTCAGAGAGTCAACTAGAGGCGAAGTACAGTCCAAAGGAGTTTTCAAAATGGCAATTCAGTTACTAGGTATGTATAGATAAAAACTGTCTAAAATGAAAACAAAAGCAGTAACATCAAACTGTGACCAACAGTATTAAGAGTGGGGGGCCACTGCCCCCCGTCCAAATAAAAGAATTCTTTAAAAGAGCGGTGCATATACCTGTACTGAACTTTTATAACCAGCACTCAACAGAACTCTCAGAGGTCATTAAATGCAAGACCAACACTGATTTTAAACAGTTGATCTATTTATAGAAAAATATATATGGCTTCCACATCAAAAAGTTATATTAATATCCTGTTTACAATATAATCATGTTAAAGATACAGTACTACATTATCATTTATATCCCACTATAATTATAAATTAGTCACTAGAAATTTAGTTACATAAAGAACATTTTTAATGAGCTAATGTTGAGTACCTGAAATTTTCTTCCTCTTCGTTATCACTCTGCAGAAGATCATCATTTAGCTCCTCATCTGACAAATCCGACTGATTCTAATTAAAGTAAGAAATCTAATTAATGCATGTCAGTTCCACAAAAAAAGACTTGTTACAAAAGTGCAAAATTACGTTGACTGGATTGTTTCTAACCTTGTTATTAAAACATCTACCATTCAGAAAGTTTTCTCAGTTTGATATAACCATTTGCCAGTCGAGATTCTACATATGGCATACTGGCTAACTACCCCAGACTAATTTTTATTTATTTATTTTTAATTAATTTATTTATTTATGGCTGTGTTGGGTCTTCACTGCTGTGCGTAGGTTTCTCTAGCTGCAGCGAGCAGGGGCTATTCTTCGTTGCAGTGCGCGGGCTTCCCACTGCAGTGGCTTCTCTTGTTGTGGAGCACGGGCTCTAGGGCGTGTGGGCTTCAGCAGTTGTGGAGCGCGGACTTAGTCGCTCCGCAGCACGTGGGATCTTCCCAGACCAGGGCTCAAACCTGTGTCCCCTGTATTGACAGGCGAATTCCTAACCACTGTGCCACCAGGGAAACCCCAGACTAATTTTTAGATGCCCAGTCAAATAAGTATAGAAGCAGCAAGCATAATGATCATATTTACTATAACTCTTAATGAAAGAAAAAAAGGAACGAGTCCTTTGGCAGTATCCTATAAACAAGTAATTTTTTCTTACCACAAAAAAAAAAAAAAAAAAAAAATGGGGCTTCCCTGGTGGTGCAGTGGTTGAGAGTCCGCCTGCCGATGCAGGGGACACAGGTTCGAGCCCTGGTCCGGGAAGATCCCACATGCTGCAGAGCAACTAAGCTCATGCGCCACGACTACTGAAGCCCGCGCACCTAGGGCCTGTGCTCCACAAGAGAAGCCACCGCAATGAGAAGCCCACGCACCACAACGTAGAGCAGCCCCTGCTCGCCACAACTAGAGAAAGCCCACGCGCAGCAACGAAGACCCAACGCAGCCAAAAAAAAATATATATATATGTAGAGTTACGTATATACATATACACACACGATATATAAATAGATATACACATCAACGATAACTGCTTTCAAGTTTTTACTTGATCAAGAGTTTAGAAAAACCTACATCAGGTTTTAGACTTTTATTCTTATTTATCTGAAAATGTATCATATTTGAGTATGTTTATTTTTATGCTTATCTCTGAATATTCCCAAAAAGTAAATCCCAGCTCCAATATGCAAATACTAACCACTGAATGTTACGGAAGGAGCTGCCGCTTCCTTTGGGCAAGTGGCAGCTTTGCTGCCGCCTTCAGAGATTCAGTGCCTGCTAGAGTGCCTTGTCGTAGCAGGAGCTAAAGTACTTGCTTCAACGGGTTTAGGGCTTGAACTCTAAGTTATCAAAGAACTTACTAACAAATTAAACACTCAACTCTTTGTGCATTTAAAATGTAATTCGATTCACAAAATTTTAATCTATACCCAACTTTCCAGTAACACATCCCATGCATAAGATGTATTCCTATATTTTAAATGCAATTAAATAACTATCATTTAGTTTCAGGAAGACCTGTATTTCTTACCTTTTTGCCAGAGAGCAAATCTTCTCCAAGTAAGTCATCTTCAAGTTCACTGTGGAAAAAAGAGACGTGACAATGTATTATTCCTATTACACACTGCGAAGTTTGTAGACCACTGGGAAATTTATCCAGGACTTTAGGGTTTGGGTACTTTCACATTAAGTTTGCTACATTTTCCTTTATTAATAATGAAAACATATTTTCAAATACATAGGGAACATCTGGTCCTTTAAGTATGGGAAGCTTTGCTATAACTAGCGGCTCTCACTAGACTTCTAATCTTAGTTTTTTCACCTCAATATGAGATCTTAATTTCTCTGGACTTGTTCATTAATGAGCAAAAGAAGAAACTATAATACAATATCTATGCTTTCTCTTACCTACGATGAAATAGGAAAAGACAGATGCTCAACATCATTAACTAGAAAAATTAAAAACCAAAATCATTGAAAGACCATTTAACACTCAAACTGCGAAAACTGAAGAAGTTTAAAAATGAAAAATCAATGCTGATGAGGACATTCAAGTAAATCATAACTAAGAGAATTATCTTTATAACATGGGAGTCATGTCAGCTGGCCGCAATTTTTTGTCAGCATGTTTATGCTTTGAAGCAATCAGAAGGAGTTTTTCTCATAATTAAAATAGAAACCCTTACCAGATGAAAAACCTGAAGACATTTCCCACTGTATGTTTCTCTAACTGATGAAGATGGCTACCACTAAATTACATCTTTTAAAAGCAAATGACTAAGGACCAACAACTAGAAAGGAGGAAACGCAATTAGGCTATGATTCTAGGTACAAATGCCAATGGAGATTTAACTGCACCAATGTTCTTATTATGATTTGCTATTTTTTCAATAAGGGCTCTGGTTACAAATATCTGTAAGTTCTATAGGTTTTGAGTGCTATTTTACCCAAAACCCATGTTTACTTCTAGTGTGCTACTGTGCAGAATGCCAGAATATCCTGGAATGCACATAGGAAGTTACAACAGAAATTCTATATACTACTTTTTAGAACCAGAAACAACTCAACAAGTCATTTCATTCATGCACTGAATACCTCTTTCATTATTTTATGTTACCCTACATAAATCGTATACCATCATTTTATAGATAAAGGAAATAAGGACAAGGTTAAATGATTTGCCCAAGGTCACACAGCAGAGACAGACTCAGGATGAGAACTTAGCTCATGGAAAAAAATCTTTCATGGACCTGTATAAGTAAAACAGTTATTAGAGACTAATGTATAACTTCTTCCAACATTTTCAATCCACAAATCACCTAATCATCTTTCAGATACAATTTTTGTATCTTCAGTGTTACAATCATTTTCCACGGACGAGGAAAAAGTGCTTTCTAGTCACAATATTTACAATAAGCGCATTTGAGAATCTGATTCCAGACAACCCCCCAAAAATACAAGCATCCCTTTGAGGACAAGCACCCCCTGAAGCATCCCTCCAAATAACTGAAAAGGGGAGGTAATCCCATTTGCCCCAGGGAAACTAACTGAGGAGAACTCTTAAAACCATAATATGAACAGGTGCTGGTAATCATATAAGCAAAAATCTAGAAAGTATTTGTTGCTGACAAATATATGGAAATAAGAAATCAGTCTTGGACTACCACCTATTTTTTCTAAACAAAAGCATTTTTTAAAAGAAGATAAATGAAAACTTAACCAGTTGTAAATGACTGGAGTGTACAGAGGTGGAGAACAGTTGTTTCCATGACTAACAAAGGCAATAATAGCATGAAATAAGAAAGCAAGACGGGAGACAGAAGGATTAAGTGCACGCGACTACAATATGCATAAATTATAGCTCAAGAAATCACTAACGCCCATTCAGTGTGCTACATGCCAAGAACCACTCCACGCGTTTCACACATACTCGCTCTTTTGTTGACATAACACAACCCCAGCAACCAGACACCTACATCATTCTCCATTTTTTTCAACATGAAAACAAAGACGCCAAGATGTTAAAGAACTGGCCCAAGGTCACCCTGCTTCCAAGTCAGAAACCAGTAGATGAGTTGAGACAGTCTGGCTCCAGAGTCCAAATACTAACTACTATGCACACACCCCACAAAAGTTAAATGTAGTTAGTTCTCTATTGTTATCATAAAGTTGGATCCTTACAAAGAGGTACACAAAAGGGAAGAAACTTGTAAACTACGAAACACTACCAAAATTACACCAAGGGTCACCAAAAGCAACAATGAACCAATGGGACTGAATGGTCCAAATCGAGTCCTTTCAAAGGGGTGAGCAGTTATGCTCGTGGACAATAACGGTAACTGTTCGGAAGCGAAAGGAGTACCAAAAGCATGAGGAGGCTTCCTGCATTCACCTGCAGAGCTCCCACAAGATTTCACCAGTAAACACTACTGGAGGAAGAACAACCTCTTTGGCAGGTATTTCTTATCAAAGATGAGAGACAACGATCTCTTAGGGAGCAAGTACATTTTAATAACAAACAGAATTATACTAAAAGACTTTTTCAGGAAACAGGTATTTTGCAGGCAGTCACCTGGCTGCAGCCTTTCAAAATGAGAAATCTAAGTGACAACAAAGACTGCACGTGAGCTCATCGTCTCTGTGCCTGCCTACTCCAGGCCACCCTCATCTGGTCCCTGCCGGCTCCAGGCCCTGGATGGGGTCTCCGGGAACGGCTCCCACGGGCTCTCCGTTCCCCCGGCCTTTCTTCTGGATGGGCTCGGCCATGGGAGGTCCCAACGGAATGTCACAAAGCGGGAGGAGAGACTGCCCCCCCAACCTGCTCAGCTCCAGTTCCACCCCACACAAGCGCAGCCCTGGCTGGGCCCTCGGACAGCCCTCCCCCGCAGGCCTGCGGCTGCTCCCCCAGTGTCACATCTGCTTCTTTAGCCCTGCCCCTAAACATCCCTGTCATCAAATGACCTTCAGTGGAGACCTTCTCAACATACTCTTTCCTACCGGGACGTACACTGATGTTTTCTGACTCACTCTTCTAAACTTTCAAACTTCTCCTCTACCATCCAGCACATGGAAGAGGCTATTTTATGCTTTAAAAATATCAAATAAAGAAATACATATGATACAGAATCTTCATATGCAAACATGCACTGAAGATGAGTGAAGAGAGGGCACTGGGACAAATGCTAGTCACACTGGAAAGAACAAGAAAAACTAGAGCCCTGTCTCACTGCAAACAAAACCCAATTCCTTCATAGCAGAAGACCAACTAATGTCATGACAACCAAAATAAATTCCCACTGAACAAATACTAGGACAATTCAAACATTAATAAGAATAATAACTACAATGGATTAAAAAAACACATGCAGTATTTAAATCTATGAATTTGAAATGATTCAAAAATAGAACTCACCTCTGGAGGATGCTAAGGAACTGACCCATTCTTTTGAAAACTGGTAAATAAAAGTAAAGAATCAAGCACCTATTCTGTACCTCAGAGGAACCAAGCAGTTTACAGAATCACCACAACTAACAGAAAAAGAAGGAATGACAGAATGAGAATATCACCACTTGGATCATCTAATGGCTGGTAACACCACAAAAAGTTAACAAGATATTGTGAAGCTCCTGATGGAGGAACATACCACCAACTAAGACACTGCAGAGCCCCTACTCTTGCCCAAATTCAAACCTGAATCTGATCAACCTCCAGATCTAACTATGAATTTACAGAAAATGCAAGATGAAGGAACATACTAAAAACACTCCAAGAGATGCAATCACCAAAAGTAGAAATTCTCCAAGATAAACCCCTTGTTTCTTCAACAAAAACTGCAGGGAACTAACAAAAACTGTGGAGAGAACTTACAGATGAAACAATACTTAAAAGACCTACCAATAAATTATGATATATGGATCTTATTTGGACTCCAAGTCAAACTATAAAAGGACACATATCCACATTATATGTACGTGTATTTGTAATATACTTATATATACATGAGACAGTCAGGGAAATGTGAACATTAATAAGACATTCCTATTAAGGGACTTCTTTTTAGATATAACTATTATGGCTATATTTATAAATCCTTCATTTTTTAGAGAAATACAATCTGATATATTTTCAGATGAAATTATGTCTGTGATGTGAGGAGGGTTACAGAGATCACATATAAAACAAGAGTGCTTCCCACTGACACTGTTGAAGCTGAAGGATGGTATATTGCCTGCACTGTACTATTCTCATATACACTTGAAATTCTCAATAAGTTAAAAAAAAAAAAAAAAACAATTTAATCAATTTCAGGAGGAAGGACAGAACGAAGGAAGAAAAGGAAGGAGGGAGGGAGGGAGGGAGGGATGGAGACCAAAAAACACTTTAAAACTTTCATAAGAGCATACAGAATACAGGGTAGGGAAGAATTTCTTGAGGACAAAAGGCAGAAAGCAGCGTGACTGACATCACATGTCTCCTGAAGAGGTGGCCTCAGGAAGGCCACAGTGTCACCAAAGAGCGCACCTTACTTACCAAATGCACAACCTGAATCTAGGCTTGAGGAGACACTAGCAAAACCACACTTGAGGGCTGCTACAAGATAAACAGCGTGTCCTCTTCAAAAATGTCAAGTCGTTAAAGACAAAGCCTTTATAGAAGCCTTTACAGAAGTCTTTAAAGACAGAATTCTTCCAGATGAACAAACAAAGAGGAGGAAAAGAAACTCATTTTTGGCCAGAAAGCACATTACTGGGACAACTGACAAACCTTGGATAACCAATGTAGATTCAGAAGAAAATGGCATGATACAAACTACTGCAAACTACTGTCAAAAGGTGCAGGAAAGAAAAATGTTCTGTGTGTGTGTATGTGAGCATGTAAAGAGGGAGAGAATAACAGGAATATGACAAAAAGCAACTGTGAGTCTGAAAGAAGGGCTTATAAGAATTCCTGGGTTTTTCTTGCAACTTTCCCATAAGTCTGAAAATGATTTCCAAATACATTTTTCATATTTTAATTTAAAAAAATAAACAAAAACCATACAGGAAAAGATTAAACAAAAACCATACAGGAAAAGATTATAATGATATTATTTATAAAAACCTACTTGAAGACTATTAAGTTTAAGACAATACATGCCACAGACTGGAAGGAGATATCTCTAAGTGCAAAAAAACAAATTTCAAAAAGTATAAAGAATCCCTAAAATCAATAAGGAAAAGACAAACAACCCAAAAGAAAAAGACATAAATACTACCAAATGACTAACAGAACAGAAGGTCCAAATGATGAGTAAACTATGAAAATACACAAGATTTGACTCAGCTCCCCATCACAGTCTTTTAAATAAAACTAGTTATCAGTACTTCCCAATAGGACCACTGCTTATATAGAAAACTTTGCTCTAAGCTCTCACTTTTTTATGGACTACATTAAGAGTCATTGAGGGTAATCAGCTTTATGTAGACTATAAGAATTACACAGTTTTTAATGTAGATTTTTCAGTAAAACTTCTGGGACATCACAGTTTTCAAACAGCAACCAGGTATTCTTTTCACAGCAGTATATCATTGTTGTTCCTTATTCAGCTCTATTGACCTTCATTATCAAACTTTCTGACTGCAACTCCAAGGTAATGTTCACATTTTCAACACAGTATTTAAGATAGTAAGAAATATGTAACGAATAGTCATCATTTGAGAACTCCCAACTCAAATGAAGGCCTCTGTGCACTTCTCCAGTGCACATCCCTCTAACCCCTACTAGAGCGCCTTCCCAGAAGTAATCACTCCATGGAACTGACATCTATCATAACTGTCGACATTTTTAATAGAGTGTGTGTGTGTGTGTGTGTGTGTGTGTGTGTGTGTGTGTATGTATTCCTAAAGAGAGATTTCCATCTTCACTAGTTATCAGAGAAATCCAAATTTAAACTATGAGATACCATTTTACACAAATTAAAATAGCAAAAATGTTAACGTCTAGCCAAATATTATGTAGGATGTGGAGGAATTCTGTTGCTATTGTTGCTGCAGGCATACAATTACTCCAATAATAGCTCTGGGTGCCCACCAACTCAATACCATCACTGTATAAAAACAGAGAGATAAGACCCCCCGTGCTCCGCTGGCAGTCCTGAGACAGCACAGGCCTGGGGTAGAAGCCCACTACAAAGCCTTCCACCTGGAGTGCTCACCCCTGCCCTACTTTAGCCCAGTAAGGACCAGCCTACCCAGGAAAGAGCATCACTAGCTAACACACTGCTCAGTAAAGATCTCTGTGTGGCCTAGCGACAGGAGATAAATCAGCATGGATCCTGCACGTAACCAGGGGTTTCCGCACCTGTCCCAGTCCTCGTCTGCAGCTCTTCTCCTCCAGGACCGCTCTGCACCAGGCTTATCAAACTGGTCAAAGTCATCATCTGTGAGCGAGAGGCCACGAAAGTCAGTCTTACTAAATTAAAACAGACACACATTCAAATACTGAAACAACTTGTTTCATTTAAGGATTCCTGACACGACATTTTAAAATACTAAAATTTCACATACAACAATTATAAATGCTTTAGCCATTTTTAATAACTAAAAAATTTTAAAGCACATATCTACCTAAAGAAAATCAACTTACTAAACACTATTAGGCATGAAAACTGACAGAATAGTTTTTTTTAAATCATAAATTTAAGTAAAACTGTTCTCTTTATAAAACAATGGTTTTTGAGTACATATTTTTTACTACAACTATATAAAAGGGGAAAATTGCCACCTTTGCAAAAATTAAAGAGACTTTTCTAATACTTTTTGAAATTTTTACATTTTTCCAAATTAATCATGGAAAACAAAGACCCTATTTAAGGGCAGTAGAGATAATGTAGAGAATTAACAAACAATAGAAATACAATACAAGCTACATACACAATTTTAAATTTTACTACTGTTCACATTTTAAAAAGTGAAAAGAAAAAGACACAGAAAACAAACTTATGATTACCAAAGGGGACAGCGACGGAGGGAGGGAGGGACAAATTAAGAGTACAGGATTAATAAACACAAACTACCACACATAAGCAAAAAGGATTCACTGCACAGCACAGGGACTTATATTCAATACCTTATAATAATCTATAATGGAATATAACCTGAAAAAAAATAACTGAATCACTTTGCTGTACACCTGAAACTAACACAATATTGTAAATCAACTATACTTCAATTTTTAAAAAAAGAATTTAAAAAATTTTTAAATAAAGACGAAATTTAAACAGGTTAAATGTTAACAACATTTTAACCTAGCGTATCAAAAACATCATTATAGCATGTACTCGATACAGAAAAGATATTTTACATTTTTTCCCACACTGAGTGTATATTTCACATATACACCACATCTCCTACCTCATTTTCAAATTTATTTTTATTATTAGGAAAATCAAAAAACTGGAATTTAAGTTTTTCATCTTAGAACACATGCAAGCAAAGAGGCTTGAGAAGCAGCATCATGTCTCCCCAGAGAGTCTACCTAGGGGAGCGAGATGACATAAACATAAAACCCCAGGAATTTTTTCAGCCTGGGGCTAGAAATTAACCAATAAAGTTCTAGCAAGGTAATACATCAATTCCTACCATACACTACCAAACGGAATAGGTGCTTTAAAAAAAGAAGAAGAAGAATGAGAGATATTAAAGAATTAGCATCCTTGGGGAATTCTGCTTCCAGTATAACATCAGGAGGAGCTCCACAAACCCACTCTCTGTGAAACTGGTGAAAATTATTTTTAATGAAATGACTAATGTCTCTGGAATTGATTTTAAATGCATACATTAAATGGAAAACACTCATTCAAGAAATCTACTCAAATTTGGTAAGAACAGCTACAGGATTCTGTGGGTTTTGAACCAGGACCCACTCACTCCTCCCCCTCGCAGCTCAGTGAGGCATCAACTCCATCCCCTCTAGACCAGTGCAGCCAAGAACACACACCTCCGCATTCCTCCCCCTACGCAACCTGCCTGGCGCTGAGGCTAACTCCCGGGCGTGAGAAGGAGGCAGGGGTTCCCTTCTTTCACCCAGGCCCCAAGTGTGGTACAGACGCCTCCGGCGCCCAGATCACCCCTGCCCCAGCTCACGGGGTGGGGGTTTCATACCGAGAGGTAAGCAAGCACATCCAGGGCTACTGCCAGCCCCGGCCCCCCACCCTGCTGCCACCCAGGCACTCGGCTCCTAGAGCAAGGGTGTCACCCAAGAGACAAGTACATCACTGTCCCCACCCACAGCGCAAGAGTTGGGGCTCAGAGACAGCCCAAGGGGCAAAGCAAACCTTGTAACAACAGAGCTCCAAAACTCTCTAAGAGGAACTAACTTCGTTATGAACAGAGTACAGAAAAAGTCCTAAGCAAAAGGCGCTCTCAGAAACAGTGAAGGTTTTGGAGAGAGATTATTAGAAAGATAAGAGTCACTGGAGATAAGGACTGAACTGCAGGATGCCTAGTGGACCAGAGAAATGAGGAGACAGGGGCCAGTGCCCTCACTTACTTAGAACAGATCTCAATCACTGACCTCAGACACTATCCAATCAAAGGAGTCTGAATTTGACTGGTCAGTCTGTAAAGGAAATTATGGCCCAGGGCACTGTGGAAGGTGTGGTCAGAGAAAAAGAAGGAGCCCAGCCAAAGCACCACCATCCCAGGGTGCCTGTGGGCATGCCCAAGGCTGTGGCCCCCTTGAGGAGTGACATCAGAAGCTTCACACTGCCCAGAGTGGGGTGTGGGGTGGGAACAGACTTCACTTAAAACCTAGCTGGTCACCAAAAAGGTAAGCAAGCAAGTAAAAACAGGCCCAGGGTGGAGAAGTGGGGAGACCAGCACTCAGACATGACACAATATATTATCTAAAATGATTTCCAACAAGAAATTACAAGACATGCAAAGAAGCAGGAAAGTACAACCCATCAGAAAAAAGGCAGGCAACAGAAACTGCCTGTGAGGGACTTCCCAGGCAGTCCAGTGGTCAAGAATCTGCACTTCCAATGCAGGGGGCATGGGTCTGATCCCTGGTCAGGGAACTAAGATCCCACACGCCACGAACGTCAGCTTTAACAGACAAATTGGCCATTATAAGTATGCTCAAATAACTAAATGAAACCATGATTAAAGAACTAAAGGAAGGTATGATGACAATGTTGCACCAAATAAACAGTATGAATAAACAGTAACTATAAAAAAGAAGCAAAAAGAAATTCTATAATTGAAAAATAACTAAAATGAAAAATTCACTAGAGGGGCTCAACAACAGATTTGAACTGGCAAAAAAGAAAGAACTGGTAAACTTGAAAACAGATCAACAGAGATTATCCAATCCAAAGAACAGAAAGAAAAAAATGAAGAAAAATGAACATAACTTCAAAGAAACGTGAGATACCATTAAGCACACAAATATATGTGTAATAGGAGAAAAAGAGAAATAGAAGCAGGGAGAAATATCTGAAGAAGTAATAGCTGAAAACTTCTCGAATTTATTTGTAAATATTAATCTACACATTCAAAAAGTTCAACAAACTCAAAGTAAAATAAACACAGAGATCTACAGATACACACATCATAGTCAAAATGTTTCAGAGACAAAGAGAAAATCTCAGCAGCAGCAAGAGAAAAACAACTCATCACTTAACAAATGCGATAAGATTAACAGCTAATTCTCATCAGAAACAATGGAGGTCAGAGGCATATAGCAAGTGCTCAAAGAATTCTATATCCAGCAAAACTATCAAAATAAAGGTGAAAAAAAGACATTCACAGCTAAACGAAAACAGAAGAAATCTGTTGCTAACTGACTCTGTAGTTGATTGAACTGTGTGCCCCAAAATGACACATTTAAGTCCTACCTCCCCATTCCCCCACCTGTGAATGTGACCTTATTTAGAAACATGGTCTCTGCAGACATAATCAAGATGAGAGTATTTGGAAGTTAAATAGAAATTTAAGACTTTGCAAAGCTCGTTTTAAAAATAAATGGTACAGTACTATCATTTCTTTAAAAAGATGAAATTAGGGGCTTCCCTGGTGGCGCAGTGGTTGAGGGTCCGCCTGCCGATGCAGGGGACGCGGGTTCGTGCCCCGGTCCTGGAACATCCCACATCCCACGTGCCGCAGAGCGGCTGGGCCCGTGAGCCATGGCTGCTGGGCCTGCGCGTCCGGAGCCTGTGCTCCACAGCAGGAGAGGCCACGGCAGTGAGAGGCCCACGTACCGCAAAAAAAAGAAAAAAAAAAAAAAAAGATGAAATTATACTGGATATTAGACCTAACAGATAAATACAAGACACTCAACTCAGCAGCAGAATATACATTCTTCTCAGGTGTACACGGAACATTCTCTGGGATATATGTTAGGCCATAAAACAATTCTTAATTAATAGTTTCAAAAGATCAAAATCATACAAAGCATACAAACCTGACTAAAGAATGGCTGACCCTTGAACAACACTGGATTGAACTGCATAGGTTTCACTTATGTGTGTATTTTTTGTCAATAAATATGTACTACAGTACTACACAATCCGTGATTGGTTGAATCCACAGATGCAGAACCATGGATATGGAAAGCCAGTTGCAAAGTTATGCGTGGATTTTCAACTGCATAGAGGGTTGCAGTTGACCCCTATATTGTTCAAGGGTCAACTGTATAATAAAACTAGAAATAAACAGAAGAAGGAAAACTGAAATATTCACAAATACATGGAAGTTAACCAGTACACTTCATCAACCCATAGGTCAAAGAAGAAATAAGAAACAGGGAAATAAGAATGTACTTTGAGAAAAATGAACACAAAAAATACAACATACCAAAGTTTATGGGATGCAGCAAAAGCAGTACTTGGAGGAAAATTTATGGCTATAATTGCCTACACTAACAAAGAAGAAAAATCTCAAATCAACAGCCTTAATTTAAATCTTGAGGAACTGGAGAAAGAAAAGGAAATTAAACCAAAAGATAGCAAAAGGAAGTAAATGATAAAAGATTAGAGCAGAGGGACTTCCCTGTGATCCAGTGGGTAAGACTTTATGCTCCCAATGCAGGAAGCCCGGGTTTGATCCCTGGTCTGGGGACCAGATCCCACATGCATGCCACAACTAAGAGTCCACATGCCACAACTAAGAAGTCCGAGTGTGGCAACTAAGAAGCCCGCATGTGGACTTCCCTGGTGGCACGGTGGTTAAGAATCCACCTGCCCAGGCTTCCCTGGTGGCGCAGTGGTTGAGAGTCCGCCTGCCGATGCAGGGGACACGGGTTCATGCCCCGGTCCAGGAAGATCCCACATGCCACGGAGTGGCTGGGCCTGTGAGCCATGGCTGGAGCCTGTGCTCCGCAATGGGAGAGGCCACAACAGTGAGAGGCCCACATACCACAAAAAAAAAAAAAAAAAAA